TATTCAAATTTTCTTTCATTAATTTGAAAACAAATCTAGATAGCGACAGGTTCGATTGTAACACTATTGTTGATCTTGTTTTGAGGAAAAAGATAATATCTTCAGTACGTGATTCAATTCGTGAATTCATAGAATGAGGAATCTTTACTAGTTCTTATACCAACATCGCATATAAGTTCGGAATCTTCACTTGAATGATTCAGCCTGTTTTTGCGACGTCATTTCTTCTCTGGTTGTCGCACATACATTTCCTTGCTAGGATTCTAACAATATCATCGATAATAATCTTCAGGGATAGCGTAATCATATTGATCATTTTGTAGTCCACAAAGAGAGGTTTAACATAATGTTTAAGTCAGGGTAGTTTTACTATTGTGATCGAGTCACGTATTCAATAGGGTATATTTTCCAAAGATTGATATCATGGTATCACCGAGTATTGTTTTGGTTCCAATGAAGAATCATGGTTTTAGTATCTTGATACAAAGAATGGAATTCAATCTTTTTAAGATTGATCAAGCGAGATGTTTTCAAGGGTGTAGTTAACACAACAAGTTTGAGTATTTCAAGGATATGAGTCACAAGATACAAAGATAGCGTTTACGAATTACCATTACTAATCGTAGGTTTTCTTCCTTCAATGTTTCACTCTTTGGAAGTTACTCAAGAGGTCGTCGTCTTAGGAAATAGCCGTTTTGACTTTTCGTTTCGGATTTGAATGTATTCGAGGCCATCGAATCTAACTTTTCACGAGTCTCAATACGTCATCAGCAGAGTGTAGTATTGGTGAGTACGTCATTATCAGTAAGTAAATCGAATCCATCTTTGCTGTACAAATTTCGACTAAGGATAACTACCCTTTTCTCAAAGATCAAATTTCAAGTCTATATATATAGCATGATTGTGATAAGGGTATCTCACATTCTCACATTATGGAAGGAACTTCTCGAGCTCTTTCTTATACCATAAGATTCGTTGGTCTACTTGGTAGTCATGCTCTGGGTAGCAATCCAAGATTCATGGCTACAGCGGTCGATTTAGGAAGGGAATTGATAAGGCGAAAAATTAAACTTGCTTATGGAGGAGGTAGTGTTGGCCTTCAAGGAGCTGTTGCTTCAACAGTCTTTACCAATGGTGGTCTCGTTAGAGGTTTTATTCCTGGGTACATAGCCACACGACAGGTTTACGGACCTACGTACGGTGTAGAGTACACCGTTTCCAGCAATTACTATAAGTATTTCAAGATGAATCATATTGTGGAAGCCTTCATCGTACTTCCAGGAGGGATTGACACTATGGAAGGTTTATTCACTTTGATTTCATGGGCATCCGAAGGGTTACACAGTAAACCCATTGGTCTTTTGAACATTAACGGTTATTTCAATAACCTAATTAAGTTTCTAGATGATACGGTGAGGCAGAACTTCATGGCTTTGAATCAAAGGAAATTGTTCATCTCTTCTTTCTTTGTTGATGAGCTTTTAGACAAACTAGAGTTTGCTAAAAGCTTTTCCGGGTCTTGGTGCTAATTATGATGAGTTCGCAATTCCCGGGGGATTGGATTTAGAATTGCATTCGTAACTTTCCTCATGTAATCCAAGTTGTATTTTGTTTTGAAATAATATTATCCATAAATATTATTTAACGTTGTATGGCCAGCGCGATCTACATTTTCTTCATTCTTCAGCCTTTCATTGTTGGTGTCACTGTTTCACGTCAAATCGTCACCACAGTCGCGATCTTTCATGTCAAAATGATATCCAAACGAGTCAATTATCTTATTGATTTGTCTTGTCAACATCAATTTACTTCATTTATTCAATCAGACTACATTGACGTTTCCAATGATAAGTAATTAGGTCATTAATTGCTTCATAACAAGGCATCAGTTCATTCATCATGGTTGAGTTGTCTATAGCTTTTAACAAGCAGGTTCTTTGTATCTGACCGAACAAGTTGTTAGTTTGTAGTAAAGGATAATAATTCTCGATCGTCAGTTTGTTCAAGTTTCTTAACAGAGATTTGTTAGTATCTTGACCGTAAGTCAATCTTAAAGAATACAATAGATTCTCTAAGCTGATCAAATAAGTCATGATACGAGGTAAAGGATAACGAATCGTTCAAATGACAGTAGTTGATATAGAGTCTCATTGATTCGCGTATGAACAGAACAGGTATTCTCCCAAGGAGGAAACACTTGGTCAGATGATTCTTTGTCAGGAAGTCATTGATGAAAACACGTTCAATACAGAGTTACGAATATTGGTCCTTTCTAGGATCAAGATTGACAGAGAATTCAACTTCTCGGAACGGTGAAATATTAGGAAGTTCATATCAGAGAGGTGACATACTCTCGGTACGTTACTTCAGTTTAGATGTTTCTTTTCGCGTAGACTTCACACGAAAAGACTTTACGCTCCTTTTGGTTGAGAGGTTTGCGCACATAAATTCGAGATAAACTCGGTCGGTTTAGAAATCAGCTTTGCTTTCACCTATATAAGGTTTCGATCATCGATCTTCAGTTGAAGAATTCTTCGTCAAGAGTTGCCAATACTAACGTCGTTTGATCAGCCAATGTATACTAAGGATTATTGTCAAATTCCTTGTATGGTATTTCAATGAAGTTTTGCAAGGAGTTGTCGCTTAACGAACGATTTCGATTCCTAAGATATAATCGCATATTAGACATCAGAATGGGATGCTTTAGATAACAGAGTTTATTGATTCTAAACGTTCGTGTTTGAATCAGTGATTAGATTGTCTTGAGTCCACATGAGTGTCTTTGATATCGGCTACACAAATGCTTCCCAACAATTATCGTTTCTTCATAGTTGTCTCACTTTCGTACGATTTTGCGATGCAGATCAGTTTCGTCCTTCGCTATGCGATGCGTACGTTAATAATGGATCAGAGGGTCATATATTTTTCATTCATTCTTGTCTCTCTTCACTGAGTACGAAAGTTCTACTAGAGTCTATGCTCGATACGATTTCAGTACTAATCAATTATTATTCAATGAGAATTCTAACAGAGTAAATATTTACCAAGTAATTTCTCATACCTTTCCTGGAGCATAGGGATGCGAGAATCGTGGATGTGACCAACATTTTTTTTAAATCAAATTTTGATCCGAAGATCGGTTTTAAAACCATTTGCTCTGATACCAAATTGTAACACCCTAATCCGTCCAGGTCTGCAGCCCCTTTCGAACTAAAGTATTAACTTGGTAATCGTAAAATTTAAAACTTTTCAAACACTTTTATTTATCATAATAATATTTTTCATATCATAAACAGTACAGAGTTTTCAATATTGCGGAAGCTTAACAAATCATAACCACAAACATAATTTATTTATATTCTTTTATTCAAAACCATCACATCCATTCCGACTATCTCGCCTCCGTCTGCCTCCAGGATCATGTCACATCATTCTATTGACCTGCGTGTAGCAAATAAAACACACTACACGCTCAGCGGTAAAGCTGAGTAAGCATATCTAATGCGTCGAACATCCANTCATTCAACAATATCCTTAAACTATTCTTAGTCTAAGGCCAATCACTTTAATATTTGTCAACCCTTAAATGAATTCTAGTTTAACTAATTAAACTATATTCCAGTATACAGAGTACTCCTAATAATCCTTAAGCTAGGCCTAGTTTAAGATAAAAGGGTTTTGGAAATCTTAAACTTACCTTCACTTAAGGTCAACCAAAAACCGACAGCGTAGTGTTCACTGTAGGGTGGGTGGTACCCCCAAACGAATAGGTACTCAAGTTTGGTTCCTGGATCCCGTACGTACGTTTTAACCCTAGCCACCGGGCATCATACCCGCAAGGCCTAACTTATATAGGTATATCTTAGAGTTATTCTAGATACCTTTCAAATCAGCATCAATATGGGTATATTTTAGAGGTTTTCTAGATACCCTTAACAATACATATTATTTTCACAAGCATCAATATATTCATTATGATTTAATCATTCATAATTTCCATTTTTAATCAGAACAATTATCAATATTTAATCATCATAATCAACAACCAATAATTATTACCATAATCATCAATCAACATAATATTCAACAACAATTAGCGGCCTAGCTTCGAGTGTTAACACCCGAACTTTCCGTCATGCATCACATAACATTTTTATTTGTTAAAAACATCATTTTTATTGTGGTAAATCATTTTTATAATGATCATAATCAATTGGTATCAAAAATAGGATTTTAGAGCTCAAAAATAGCATTTTCGGACAAATTTTCGGATCAGACTGGTCAGGGGATCGATCCAAATACTCATTTGGATCGATCCAGGAGTGATGATCGATCCTCCCTGGGTATTTTCAGCCACTGTTCATCGTCTTCTTCGTTACGGGTCCAATTTCGGAAATACCATTTTTAGTCATCGAACTTCAACGAAACTATATAGAGATGTTCTCCAAGGTTCATAGATCATTTTGACATCATTAATTCATAGTTTTAACATCAATTTCATGGTTTATGATTCTTGGTTCTTCAAACATGTCAAACACAAAACTCAACCAAATGACCATTTATGAACGTAGAAACGACCTATATGAACATTCTAGTCATTAGATATATCTACGGGCTTACCTCAAAGGTAAACAATGATTCCGACGTTTGAGCGGCGAAACTTCCAGTGATCACCACGGCTTGCTCCGGCGACTTTTCACCAAATTGGCAGCACAACAGTGTTCCTCTCTCAACAAGGAATAGAATGGAAGGAAGAAAGGGAAGGATTGGTGATGAATTGAGAATGCAAGGTGTTCTTATATAGCAAAGTCCTGGGGAAGAAGCCAAGTGATCCTTACGTAGCAATTTCCTTAGTGCGCAGGACGGCGATTCTAATTGATTTACACGCCGCTCCCTGATTGGGACCAATTTGGTTCCAGTCGGGGTACACTCTTTGGTCCAACTTTCTCCGAATTGAATTCCGTTTTCACCGTTGCGATCGTACAATTAAACTCTATCTAATGATATAACTTTTATATTTATTCGTTATACTTTTTCCGACATCATATTTTTGGGTGGTTGACTTTGACAGAGTCAAAATTGGTTTAATTGACCTTTATTCAAAAAGGTTCTCACATTTAATTCATATTATTTATTTCCATGATTTATTTCAATAAATCATTTCAAAGTTTACATTACGAACAATTTCTTCATTTATTCTTAATTTTGGTATGTACTCAGGTTCCCAATCAAGATCACACAATAAGTCAACAGGTTGGATTTATCTCTATGAGATTTAACTCAATTATGTTTATTGGACATCAATATATATTTTATTTCGGCCCAAAGCCCAATAATAATTTATTTTAATCAAAACAAATTTTGTTTAATTGAATATTTAATTCAATAAATTTTAGGGTATATTTTGGGGCGTTAAAACGGGCTTCAATTAACTCCTCTGCACAACTTCAATTGAATCCTTTTCTCTGATCTGCGCAGGATCGAAAAACAACAGGACGAATCGCGTTCTTCCAGATTTGAAAAAAACAAGGGGCTTCAAGAAAAAGAATGAAAGGAAGAAAAGGAGGAGAAGGGGGAGGGGGGGAGAAAGTGGGAAGATGATGACTAAATCTAGTCGAGAAAAGAAAGGGTAGAAAGAAGAAGAAGAAGGGGGGAGAGGAGGAGGAAGAAAACGGGGAGGAGAAGAAAAATGGGGAGGGGAAAGAGAGAGAGACCAAACTTGGTGTGGTGGAGAAAGGATAAGGGAGAAAGAAGAAAAGAAGAAAGAAATGGGAAAAAAAAGAGGGGAAGATGAAGGGTATTTTGGGAAAAGTGGGTATGGAAACGTATAATGGGAACTTTATTTCCGGACGGAAATGAGCTTAGACTGGGAACTTCTTTTCAGGAAGGAGGGAATAATACTTAATTACTGGAAGTATTTATGTAGATAAGATAAGTACTGGTTTCCCACATTGGGATATATGGTATAGGTAGAAACTTATACAGCCCAACATACTTTGTCCTTCAACCCCCAAAGAGAGAGCAACGATCCCATGATTTCACGATTCCGGCCTCACGACGCACAGTTCGACGTCCTCTTTCTACGTTTGGTGTTCTTGTCCTGTATCCACACATCCTTCAGGTCTCTCTATTTCTTTCTCCACGCTCCATCTTTTCTGCTTTACCTTGCGACTTCATCAAAGATTCTTATGCCTTGTTTAAATTATCCGGAAATGCAACATTTTTTTCATACAATCCGGAAATGTAACATAATCGGTCGTTAACAAGTTTTAGAGGGCCGAAATTCCAAATCCGAATCAAAACTCTGCAGATCTTCTATATTTTATCGATGATTTGTATGAAACACAGCTCTTCAGATCTAATTTTCACATTCCAGATAATCTTTTGATTCGGTGATTGTAGTACGTATATCTTTTTTACTTGCAACAGACTGGTTTGGCTGTGTTTCTTTCATACAAAAGATAATAGTCAGTTAATATTACAAGGGTCTGTTACATAACAATGTTGTCTATAAGGTTGTTTCGAGTATGGAGAAGTAATTTGAACCATATATTTTTTTAGAAGGAAAGGAGAGAGAAAAAACTGTGAAGATAATATAGTGACAAGAAAGGGATTTCTGTTAACATTTTCTCACAATTACATGTGTGTTCTTTCTCTAACATGTACTATTGCACTCTATTATTTGCTGAAAGAAAGGTCAGATTCCTGAAGTTTTAAAAAACTTTGGGTAATGGGGTTTGTTTTTTGAATTGTAATTATCATTGCTGACAGGGAATGAAGACCGTTTCTCGTAATAATAAGGTAAAGAAGAAGAGGGTTTCTGATTCATCCCCAATAGACTTGCATAAGAAAACCCCCATTTCTTTGAAGCCCAAAGAGAAAATCACAAAAAAGTCACTGTCTAAGAAGCCTGCACTGGTACAAGAAGGCGAGGCCAGTTCACAAGTCAACGACAAAAAGGAAGGGGTGACGAATGGGATCAAAGTTATCAAACATGCTAGTCTTCAAATGGCTGGTAAGCCTAATGAGCAGCATGTAGATGAAAAACCTGAAGAGTTGGAGAAAAGTGGCCCACTGTCCACTGAGAAGAAGACCACATATGATGAAAAGAGTATGAAGTTGAAGAAAAGTGGCCTACAGTCCACTGAGAAGAAGACCAGCATTGATGAAAAGAGTAAGACGCTGAATAAAAGGGACCAACTGTCACCTTCCAACCATATTGTTGTAGAGGAGTGGTTCATAGATCGAGATACGACTAGTGGTGGTAGTCAAAGACCTAACAAGTGTCAAAACACTCAACTTGGTGACAAGTCTACTGATGAAAAGTGTAAAGAGGTTAAGAAAGAGGACGTACAGTTCACTGAGAAGAAGAAAAGGACAGATGGAGAGAGTACAAACCAGAAGAAAAGGAACCGACAGTCACCTAAGAACCATGGTGGAACAACGCAAGTTAAAGACAAAAAAGATAGTGTAGAGTGGTGGATCAAAGATGGAGATCAGACCAGTGATGGAAGTCAAAGGCCTAAAAAGGAACCGAACACTCAACACAGGAGCAAGTCTGAGCAGCATACAAATGCAAAGAGTAAGGAGTTGAAGAAAAAGGGCAAACCCCTTGAGAGCAGGCGCTGTGGAGGAATGATTTTTATGTGTAACACAAAAACTAAACCTGATTGTTTCCGCTATCATGTAATGGGTGTTTCAAGGAACAAACAAGATGTTGTGATGCACATCAAACCTGGTCTCAAGCTATTCCTTTATGATTTTGACGTTAAGCTATTGTATGGAGTATATGAAGCAACATCTGCGGGTGGCGTTAAACTTGAACCAGAAGCCTTTGGTGGAGCTTTTCCCGCACAGGTCAACCTTTTCTTTTCTTCCTGACTTCTCGTGATTTATTCTGAATTACTCTTGCACTACCGTTCAGATGTTTGTTCGATGATTGGAAACTCAAACAGGTCAGATTCGTAATTAAGGAGGACTGCCTTCCATTGCCTGAAAATGTGTTTAAAAAGGCAATCAAGGAGAATTACGATGAGAGGACACACAAGTTCAAGACTGAGTTGTCAGTTTCACAAGTATGAAATATATTGCTTATGCAGAGAAACTGTCTTAGGAAGTGTGCCAAAATTGTGGTTTAATTGACTAAATATGCAGGATTATCTTAAATATTAATCCCTATTAAATACCACTGAGTATATATGCATATTATATATATAAATCAAAGAATACAATGCCTACAATGGCGGTTGAAGTGCCATTTTTATTAACTTCACCCATTTCAGTTGAAAATCAAGTTATGCACTATTTTTTTCATTAATAGCTAGCACTCTAGCAGAGTGGAATGCCTACCAAATGGAACATGGTTTTGGTGTTTCCCTGAAAGTTATATTATTTTTAATATTTCCAACAGGTAAAGCAGTTGATTGAACTGTTTAGGCCTATGCCGTGGCTGCATCCAACATCAAAAGCATCTTTTCCCGAATCCGTTCAAGAGCCTGCTTCTGAGAGATCACACTTTAATAATCACAGAAGCACACAGAATGATGTGCCTCATGATTCCCCCCTTTTTCTAACTGAAAAAGAATACAGAAGCTATGGTCTTCGGCAGGGGAGACAGCATGTGCTGAGTGACTCTCCTGCCCATGCTAATCACATTTCAGATCATTATAGACCTGCTGCATGTATAACAGAGAAGGAAACTACTGGTTTCCACCATCCATATTTCTCTGCACGTGTTGACCGGGCTTTGAACCAATTTCTGCTTGAACAAGAAAGGGACCAATCACAGAAGGAAACCAGTTTCCCAGAAACATATTTTCCTGGGGAAAAAGAGTACCGAAATTATGGGCTTAAGGGTTATCAGGAAATCACAGCTAATGTGCAGCATCCTTCTGTGGGAGCGAATGATTCTGCAATGACTTCCATGGTCAACCATGGTGCAAAAGACTATGTGGCGTTATACAGATCTAATCCCTACAATGATAGCAGCACAACATCACTCGTTAATAGGTATCTATCTTTGCCAAGGACACAGCCAGATCCCATTGAACCTTACTCTCTCACCGGTAGAGACCCTTATATATCTGAGGCTAACTACTCAGGTAGAGTAATGGAGAGAGAGAATCTACCCTCACCATATACTAACTATCTACGAGGGGCGGGAGGGAATCTAGATGGAGTGAATGGGGAAAGAGGGAATCCACGCTCTCCGTATGGTCAAACATACCACCAATATCTGTCTTCCTCTCCAAGGTCATTGCGCTATCCCCACGAAGCTGGACCTTCTTCTCGATCACACTACTGAACCTTGGTTGATGCATCTCTTGTGTATCATTGTTTTTGTTAGTTGTTACTATACACCATTGCTAAGATTTAATTTGCAAGAGCTTTATTGACGGCATTTCTCCGAGTTGCAAGACCAACCTGAATCTCATAGGCAAGTGATAACAGTTATTGTTGTGAAGCAAGGACAGTTTGTATGAGGTGAAGTGGTTAAGGGGTTCCTGGTTTACTGTAAAATAAGTGACTATTTGAAGACAGATGTCTTTGTAACTGTCTTTAAACCTGTAACTTGTTACGTACCTCCATGTATGTTTCTAGACTATGTCTTCGACCTTTTTTTTGAAGATTATGATACTTTAAAATGGTGATAATGGCCAAGGGTATCGACTTTTTTGGCGTTTATCTGAGTAATTCTTACTTTGTAAAAGATTTTATTAGCACTTTTTTTATAAGGTTAAATTTCACATATGGTATACGAACTTTCATCATCATTTCACTTCGGTATATAAACTTTAATTCCTATCACAAAAGTACACGATCTTTCAACATTCTCTCACCGGTGGTCGAATAGGCGGGTTCTAAGTCACCTTCAGGTCATTTAGGGGTTAAATTATAATTTTATAAATTTAAATTTTATGATTTTGACCCCTTTTCTTTTTTTCTTGGTTCTCTACCCTTTTTCTTCATCTTCTTCAAGACCCCCCACCCTCTTCCTCCATTTTTTTCTTCCCTTCCTCTTCCAGCCCCAACCCCATCCCACCTGCACCATTTTTTCTCTTCTTCTAGCCCCCCACCCCCACGCACCCATTTTTTTCATTCTTTTTTCTTCTTCTTCTTTCCTTCTTCTTCTTCTTCTTTCCTTCTTTTTGAAAGTAAATTTTCAAATATTTTATGCCACTCTATAATATACTCCGTGGGGTGGGGGCTTTAAAAATATAGAGTGGAAAGAAGGAAAGAAGAGTGGCATAAAACAGAGTGGCATAAAATATTTCAAAATTCACTTTCAAAACGAAGGAAAGAAAAAGGAGGAAAGAAGAAGAAGAAGAAAAAAGAATGAAAAAAATGGGTGCGTGGGGGATGGGGTGGGAGGGGGCTAGAGGAAGAGGGGAAAAAGAGAAAAAATGGTGCGGGTGGGGGTGGGGCTGGAAAAGGAAGAGAAGAAAAAAATGGAGGGGGAGGGTGGGGGTCTTGAAGAAGATGAAAAAAAGGGTGGAAAACCAAGAGAAAAAAAAAGAAAAGTGGTCAAAATCATTAAATTTAAATTTATAAAATTATAATTTGACCCAAATGATCTGAAGGTAACTTAGAAACCGCCTATTGGACCACCGGTGAAAGAATTTAGAAAGTTCGTGTACTTTTGTGATAGGAATTAAAGTTTATATACCGAAGTAAAATAATAATGAAAGTTCGTATACCATGGGTGAAATTTACCCTTTTTTTTATAAATTCTCGTTACATTTGTAGCATGTTTGTTGCTTACGTGCTTCTTTGGTGTACCTTGGGTGCATATTTTTACAGACTTTCTCACATGCTTTTTTTATTTTTTTTATTTTAAAAAATAAATACTTATTTAAGTAATAAAAAAATACTTATTTTATTCATATGTAGGTTCATGGTGAACCTTAGATCCACCATAAAATTTGCCTGGTTGCTTTGCGTTATACGGTGTATTTATATTTGAAAGGTGCATTTGAATTTTTGTTTTTGAACAAATGATGTGTGAGGCAAGAATTCATTTGTACGAGAACTCATTTAAATCATCAGAAGTCACTGTCTATAAATCTCCAAAAGCTCCAAATCTGAAACCTTCAGACACCTTAGCCTTCTCTCAATTGCATTTCCCAATTTAGTCCACTTTCTTGGTTAAATTTTGACTTAGAAAGTCACTAAAATTTCGAAGATGCAAATATGCAAATGAAATTTACAAGGTCATAAGGGGAAAAGTTGACGTAAAAATTATCAGAACCTACGTGGTAGAAATTATCAATTTAATGAATTTAGGGTCAGGACGCTAGTTTCACGGGTTCTCACAGGAAGAGGAGTTTTTACATGAACCCTCCCTTATCATAACATCATCCTTAAAATAATTTATTACGTGATTGCTAAAGATTCGTCGAACAGATTTTAATTCTTTACTTTCAAATAATTACACAAAGGGAGTAGGAGTAAATTTCACCAATGGTACTTGAACTTTAACTGGAATTTTGAAGTGGTACCTCAACTTCAAATCCTTTCACAAAAATCCTTGAAGTTACACAATCCTTTCACTAAAAGTCTATTTGCCCGTTTCTAGGTTAACTTCCGGTCATTTGGGCCAAATTAGAATTTTATATATTTTAAAATTTTCAATTTGACCCCATTTATTTTTTTCTTTTCTTCCGCTCCCCGCCGCCATCGCACCACGTCAAAGTCGCTGAAAAATCAATCTGGTCAGATTCCGGCGGGACCAACGCCGTTCTCTTCGTCTTGAGATGAGGATCAAGAATATCCAAATCATTTTGTCCAATTTGGCCTGAAACTCCTCGAATTTGAATTTTTCCACTCGAAAAAACCCTAAAATCCGAAATTGGGGGGTTTTGCAAATCGTCATCAAATCTTGCAATTGAGGAGTCCTTGGGGGTCGCTGAGATGCCACGAAAATGTTGGAGGAGATGAGCAACGTCAATTTTGCCGGAGGTGGTCAGATAACGCTCCAACCCGCCGGAAAATGCTGCCGGGCTTGATGCAAGTGTAAGATACTCGAATTCCGCCTGTGATTCCCTTGATGGTTTATTTGGAAGGATGTGAAAACGGAAAATGTTATATGTGAATGTCAATTGTTGACATGCTTTTGAGTGGGAATATATGCATTACCATTCACCACTTAGCAATTTCTTTCGTGGTGGAGTCATTCTTTTAGACAAATTTTGTTGAACATTGACTACAAGATTCTACAACTTCTTTTGTTGTTTAAATATGTCGCTATCAACTTCTATAGTTCTTCACTAACAATAAGTGCCTACTTAGTTTCATTTTAGACCCTTTTAGAAAGCTACATTTACTGTACACTCAAGAAGTGCTCAGTTTGTTTGTTTAGCATTGACAAAGATTTTTTATCAAGTACGTTACTACTCCATATCGTTTAACTGGTCGTTGTCACTTTGGCTCGACTTGAAAGTTTATATAGTGAAAAGAACATTGTTTAAATTTGTGCAAAGAGGAACATGCACAATTGGTTTGGATCAACCAAAGAGAAATATATATATATATATATATATATATATATATATATATATATATATATATATATAAGGTATATATATATATACATATATATATATATATATCTATATATTTGTATAATATATATTAAAACGAATTAAAATATTTCTTTTTTGTTAATTATTTGGTAATTAAAGTTGACAAAATAAATTGGAAGCCATAATAATGGTTGGGCCAAAAATTGGAATTAAAGTATGAATGGGATTTGATTTCTTTCCTAAACTTTAAAAGGCATATTCCAAGTTGGTCTGGGATGGGGATTGTACTCCTTATAAATAGGAGATCATTCTCCCTTATTCCACACTTGAATTTTTGGTCCCTTCCCTTTAGAACTAAGAGACCAAATTGTTTTGCTCTTTTAATTCATTACTCCTAATATTTTATATTTTAAGAAGATATTCTTGAGAAAATTACTATCATAATTTTTCTCAAGAACATCAATCAAAGTTCGTGTGTACGCACTAGAGGTCATATACTTTTGTGACTAAAGCTCTTGGATCAATTCTGTCGGCCACACGTCGTTGCTTGCTCGTCAAGAAAGGTATATCTCTAAACAATAACTCATAGTTTTCGTAAGGGATCTTGGGTGGATCTACGTTTGGACATAAAATTTTTATATTTCCGCTACCGTATCCAAGCATAGTTCCCAACACCTTCCCCGACCATAATTAGTCAAAAAAAGAAAAATTTCAAACCATGTCTCAATGCTATGATTATTTCACCCCCAATGTGAACATTGCATGCGTGCGGCGGAAGTGGGTGTGGGAGGCTTTGCAGCAAAAGCAACAGCTTCAATGCTATCATCGTGACCACAAACATTAATTTTATGGCGTTCTACTTGTGAAATCAGATGGAAAACTTTATCCAGGTCCAGTACAAGTTCAATGCGAACCAATTGTGAACGAAGACTTCCCAATTGTTCATCATTCAAATCTAGCAAAAAAATCAATGGTTTTGTCTTACTAAATTTGTGCGCTGGGGCTGCTAGACTTGCGCAACCCATTGTGGGTTCTTTCATACCATGAAGCTGGTTCCACAAAGTAATGAACTTATTGTAATACATGATTACACTTTGACCTTTTTTGCACAAAGTGTTTAATTTTACCTTCAACTGATAAATATTGGTACCATTAGAACATCTGTATCATTCCTTGAGATTAGCCCACAATTCATAAGCAATTGTATGTGACACAATACTAGGCTCAATAGATTCTTCTACGCTATTAAAAATCCAACTACATATGATTTGGTGATTTGCATTCCACGCATTCAATTTATGAGGATTCGTGGGTTTAGGAATCCCATTATTTGTAAGAAAATCAGCTTTACCACGTCCTCCTAACACATTCCGAATAGCTTTCTCCCAAATATCATAGTTATCACATCGAAGAAAGTACTTAGTCAAGGAATTATCAGCGTGTTTGGATGGATGAAGATAGTAGATGGTGGAAGGATCGTGGATGAGCCTTGTCTATTTTGGCATCGTCTTGACGGTGGACATGAATCACATGATGATGCACGACCTAGATGTTCATAGAAACAACGGGATACTTGTTCGACAAGGACCTTGTTACACTTCCAACGTGACAAACTCGGCGACAAGAAGCGGCGCACACAGGTGGTTTGATTCAATCATCCTACGGCGATGATACTGCCGACTAGCGTACCTAGGGTTTTGGAAGGGAACCTGAGGATTGCTTCGATACCATGTAAAAATTCAGAACTGTGACATGCTTTCACTAATTACAAACCAAGTATTTATATGCAAGAAAATACGAGGCCCAAATGCACGGCCCATAAACATTATTACAATGATGAACACGTCTTTTTTCTTCACATGATGAAGAGTTGTTTTGGAAGTGTAATTAAAAATTATTTTCAATGTGATGTTTATGGATTGTGAAACATCTTGAAACCCAAAATATATATGATACTCCATTGGAAAGTGTTATTAAATTGAAATAATAATGAAGACATTTGTGATAATTTTGCCAGAAAACTGCTCTTGGGTACCCTATATTTTGAGAAACTAACTGCCGGGTACCTCATATTTTCAAAATATACTCCGAGGTACCTTCTATTTTGAGAAACTAACTATCGGGTACCTCACATTTTTAAAATATACTCCGAGGTAC